TCTGGAGCTGCAGGCTTGTGTACAAGGCAACCAGGTCCTAGTAAACCTGCATATAACCAAACCCTTGAATGGAGCCATCTGCCTTGCGATAAGAGCTCCCTTGTCTTCCCGTGTTAGCTCAGTGTGGGATGCGAGCCGCCCTTACTGCAGGAATGACAGCTGGAACAAATTAGATCTAAATTGCGCCGTTTTGTTGCAGTGAGATTTGTGATGCAGAGGGGGCAGGAGCCCTGCTTGGCTGGAGCAGCAGAATGGTTCTCAGTGGCAGGACCCCACACTGCTCCAGGAGCTATAACTCAGAGGAACAGACAGTCACAAGGAACACTTCCGTCTCCAGCACAAAGCGAGCACATTTATGTGACTGGCCCAGCTTGCTGCAAGGATAAATGGTATTGTATGCCTACAGTATGTGCAGGCGGAGAGAAACTGGCAGACAGAAGGGATTTGCTGAATATCACTGTGACCTCATGCAGTCAGGGATTAGCAAAAGACACAAGGTACTTTCTGAAACTTGCGTCTCCACAACACAGATGACACAACCCAGGAAGGACAAATGAAAGAGGGGCTGCAAACAACAGCCTTCTGCAACAGCTACCACTCCTCGACCACTCCCACTTCTCTAGACCTGGAAAACATATTTCTGTGTGCTGCATTTCCACATTTGGGGTTTTCATAAAACCCATTTGCTTCTGAAGAATTTGGTGTATAAATAAGACCTGAAGACACACAGTGCTTCAAACCAGCTGGCCTTCACTGGATAATAAGTGGTTCAATTGCAAACTGGCACAAGAATTAAACCAGTATAAAAGCTGCAACTACCTTGATTTGTACTGGGCTAAAGCTCACATTCTGTGCTTTGCAGCAGCCCCAGCTGTCAGAATTCATTTCAGGAAAAAAGAAGGGGTGGCGACACTACAGGTGCTGCAAAGGCTAAGCCTAAAAACCTCGCTTAGCACAGCACACGTATATATCTCACGAGATATATCAATCAATAATACTGACGATGCTGGGAAATAATGACAGAATAGGAAACGGCAAGAACCGTAACCCCTAAATTAAAAGTTTTAAACTGATCAACATCAACTGCCATTTGCAGCTGTCCCTGGAATTATGAAAAGTTCTTCTTTTGCTCTATTCCTAACACCTCATCTGAATGATGAGCACAATGGAATTTCCCCAGCCTGAAAACAGCCTGAATTCAAATTCAGGACTGAAACTACCACTCAGATTGTTCTGCTGTGCAACACTGGCTTTGAGACACTGCGCCTGAAGAATATTCTTTAAAATGAACAAAGCGCAAGGAGCCGAGGCCCCTGAAGCACTCTCTACCAGCCGAGCAGCTGGTTGACGGCTCAGAGTCCTGCTGCCAGGGCACAGCAGCAAGAGAAGTCTATGAGCCTCTCGTGGGAGAAGCTGTTGAGCCTGTACTCACAGAACAGCACCAGTCAGCATACTGTTTGTGCTATGGTACACAGCTCTAAAGAGAATCATTAGTTTGTTTCCAAGTACTGTATGCTCCAAATGTAGAAAGAACGTATCTCTTACAAGCTGTGTGGAAATCATGTTCATAACAGTGTACATTTTCTTAAATTAATGACTTCACACCGAAACAATGCATACAGCAATGGATGGAATACCTTTCCGATATTTTTTTTTATTCTTCAGATGGACAACCATTTGCTCTTTGTGTAGTTTTAGCATTGTCATTAAGCACTGTAATTCTGTTAAACAATGAACAAAGGTAAACAATTGTGGTATTCCGTTTGGGGAAGCAGAATTACACTTAAAGGGAAAATAAGACATTTAATAGAACCATAACGCACTACAGATGGAACAAACTAACCAAACGTTCATTAACTAACCATTAGGTGAGGATGTTACAAGCTTTGGTTAAGACTACAGTTTAGTTACTAAAATGCAATTCATCAACAGGAGAGGTTGGTGAACATCATATTTATGTCATTCTATAAATATTTTGTAAAAAACATTCTATTTAGACAAAATTTAGAACTGGGATTTGCATTGCCAAAATATCCTAACTTTACCAAGATTTGCGATCGTTTTGTTTCCATTGTTGTAGGACCCTTTATTAAAAACATCAGTTGTAAAGTCAAATGCTTTTTCTTCAGACTAGAGAAGATATCAGGTTTTTTTTTTGCATGTAATTTTCACTTCAGTTATCTCTACACATGCACATTGCCCAACGTAATACTTCAACAGGTTGTATCTTCCTGCTAACAAAAGGAACATATTAGTACCTGTACCACAAGTCTCTCTATCAACACACCTCTCCCACTAAAATATACAAGAAAGGAAAACACTTAAGAGCTGCTTTAACCCAACCAAGAGTAGCAATGAGATCACGTTCCTGTGACTAAAATACGCCCCCGGCCAGTCAGTTCCACTAAACTAAAACTTATCTGCACTCCACTCCCTCAGTATGCAGGCAGGAAAAGTCTGTTTTATCAAACCCTCCCCTTTTTTTCCCCAGACTCTGGGCAAGATTCGGCTTGTACCTCATGAAATAAAGGTGTTCAGTCTCATTTGATTTTAAGACAATTTATGAGATAGTGTAATTAAATCTTGGCGGTATGGTGGCTGGAGCAGTGCTTAGGAATACTGCCTCATAGCCCTGGGGGCCCGGGTTCAAGTCCCGGGTGTGTGGAGTCTGTATGTTCTCCCTGTGTTCACATGGGTTTGCTCTGGGTGCTCCAGTTTCCTCCCACAGTCCAAAGACATGCTGCTG